TCCGCTGTTCTTGTTAACTGTCTCCATTTCATTCTATCTACAGCATCTTCTCATGATGTCACCTTAATTTCGGTGAGGTACTTCTGAATCACACTTACTTGTGAAGCTTCTTCTTCGCACCGTTTTTATTTACCCTTCTGTAGAATTCCTCGTGGTCGCTTACTTGGGACTTTTCTTGCCCTAAGTTCAGTCATGATTACTGAATGGGAATCGATAACAGATATTGAAGAAAAATCCGATAGCAATGCCTAAATACACAGCTGCTGAGGTCTCACTACAAATGAGTGTTGAAGTGTGTGAATGTCGTCTAATCAATGAATAAACATGACGTGTATGTGTTTGTAATAACAATCAGCTGCACGACTTTTAAGAACCTTGCAAAAATACCAACAGAGTGGCCTATAAGATCAATTATTAGTTTTTTGCTCAGGAAAAAAGGCAACGTACCAAAGTCGGAAAATGCCACTGAGTAGGTCTCTAGGTGGTTCTCCAGATTTCAAAATCTTTTTCATGTCATAACTAACTAGAAACAAAAGTAAATGCTTATTCAATATTACTTGAGAAGATTTCCTATTTTTTTTTTCGATCATATGGCCCATATCTTGAAATTGAGTGGTGTCGCACATGCAGAAACTCAACTCACAAACAGTCTAATCGACTGAGTCTCCTGAACATGGGAGACAAGTTCTCTGCCATTCATACTCACGTTCGAGCTTATGAACAACATGGAAGCGTTTTAAAGAATTCGTGCGTCACTTGCTTGCATTTGGCTCCAAAATAGCATTTCATGACTCGAACGGCTCGTATACACCATATCCTATTCATAGTTAAACTTATCGCTTTTCTTAAAAACTGCTAGACTTCCAAGCTTACAGATTCTTGAAAATTGACGGTCACGTCACCCTGTTTCGTCTGGGTGTTTTTCGAGCTTCTCATATGCGCGCGCCATTGTACACAGCTGGCTGCTGTAAGCTGCCTGTGTGCAACGAGTGGTCCCGGTGCGAATGGTGCAACCTCTGCAGCCTCTACAACGCTTTGAGAACTCGTACGCCTCTGGGTGTGTATGTCGGCTGAAGCCGCTTATGAAGGACTCTTTTCGCTCCAATGAAGCCGTATTGGGACCTGACAACGTCATTAAGAAATCGTTGGGGTCACAGGTTCATCCGAGGGAAAAATCTCATGAACCATTTTGTCGTGCACTGTGCCTTTAAGCAGTAAACATTGAATAAGAGCGGTTCAAATTTTTATAAAAAATAGTTCATCTACCACTGATCGAGGACCTTTCAAAAAAGCCGAACCATGTCCTATTATATAAACGATTTTCGGCAATACACATTTCTACTGTACTTCTGGGGAAAGTTTTTTTATTGTATCCGTTTTTTCCTCTGCAAGGAAATACTACTTTTTAAATTCCTTAGAGATTCAAAATCTAGACCCCTACAGATAACGAGCCTAAAATAATACGTGACAGACCCAGAATACAGTTGACATCGCGTTCGACGGTGTCTGTTTTACAGCGCCATAAACCGACTCCCTATTGATTAATTTGGTTAGCAGCAATTTTTATGTATTCCACTATCTGGAGAGAACTGACATTTGGCTTTGCAATCTTTCACCATTGCCTTTTTTATCAGAATACAACGAAGGAACATTATGTTTCAGTAAGGCATCCATTATTTTTATCAAGCGTTTATCGTTTAACAGCTAGTATCACTGGAAGGTTTTGGATCCGTAAACGGAAGCGAGAAATTCGCAAGGGTCTCGGGTCCTACAGTAATCCGGCTACAGGCCCCGATTGCTCAAATGGCAATGCGCGCCATCCCGTAGTTATCGCATTGGCCGTGAAAGGAAGTATGAGGTCCGTGAATCTGCGTCCGTTGCGTTTTACTTCATCGTGAGGTCACCGTATGAATTCCCTTACTGAAATTTCGTTTCAGTGGTCCCGTAATGATCTTTCAGATATTTTAGACACTACATGAATTTTTGCTGCGATTTTATTCGAAAGTGTCTATTATATGGGCATTAAAGTACGGAATAGACTTTGCAGATACAACTGCCCATGCAGGTGTTTCGTGTCTGTTGTAATTATGGCCTTATCACAACGAAACTGATGCGACACTTCTATCGACCGTTACTGCATTATCAAAGTGCCGCGTCAATCAGAGGTTGATTCTCACATCTTTTCTAATTGAGCGTTGAATTTCTTGGGAAAGAGTTTCTACTTCTTTTCGTATTATTAATGTGTTCGTATCTTCGAAAAAGCCCATCTTATGTTATGATCAATGGGAAGTTAGGGCTTTTAGACCATGTTTTTCTCGACATATCCAATTCGAAAGGCTTTCCTACTTTCTTGAATTATAAAGGTATACCATCTTTCAGGTTTCTATCTCTACGAGTATATACTGTCGCCTAAACCTACACCCTGAAGAAACGCCGGCCGAGTTTTTTTGGCAAGTTGCCCACTGTTTGAATCTAGTTCGTTGCGGGACTCACACCATCGTGCCTTTACTGTAGCTTCATTTCGATGTTCCGTTTGAATTGCTATTGGAAGAAGTAGTGGTAAGAGTGTATTCACGCATGAAAAATCCGAATGTAAAGGAAAAGGTGGCATAATACGTTATTTGAAAGAGGTTGTGTGACATCTTGGGAGAAAATTTTTGAAAATAAGAGGCGAACCATGGGAAGAGGAAAGCTTTACGGTCTTTCCCGATGGATGTAGAAACGGGGATCCGGAACGGCAAGTATTTCCATTCCAGTTCAAATTTCACTTAGCTGCTCGTTTCTTTGGACAACAGGGATACAATTCTCCTTCCGATATGTCATATAACCTGAAACCTGAAACGGTTTCTCAACGGTTCACTGTGTAGAGAGCCACAATAAAATGATTTCGATTACATTACATTAACATTAATAACCCATCCGGTAAGAGTATGCCACCATAAAACGTTTGATTGAAATGGAGTGATACTCAAAACCAAGACTGCGTCACGGGAAAAGGCTCATCAGTAACAAGAAACTAAACGACAGAATATCAATTACAACCTTACTCATTTTATAAGGTCTCTTTTTAAATAATGAAAATAACGTGCATGTTTCCTTTTGGTCTAATGGTATAACTTCATTTAAATGCGTTTTAAAGCGAAATGGCACTCTTTTTTTGAAGTCCTTCTCACAATGCAATTTGATGCCATTTTCTAAAAGCCTCGTATAGTTATTAGGCTGAAAAGGGAAGTGGAGCGCAGTGCACCGGGTAGAAACGTGCCAGGTAATGAATACTCATTCATGACAGCAGTGTATTTGAAGGCCAATTTGATCCAGTACAGTGTCTTGTGAGGCAAAGCGGTGTGCTCCTGCCTTTCGTCTTTTGGTGGTGACCTAGGACTACATTAATTCCAATTATACTATGCTGATCCTAAATCCATTTGCTTCAAGGTCGCCGTATTATGATAATCTTTGAGAAGGAAGCAGTAAGAATGCAGAACTGCTTCTCCCTACTTCTTCATGTTGTCAGGTGCCAGTGATTCAGATTTCTACTCGGTGAAAAAGCTTATATTCCTTGGCAAAACGACAGCTTACCTTTCGAACAACGTATATTGTCATCTCTTCCCTTAATTTCGGATCTTTCATGGGTGCGGACACTCTTAACATCATCTCTCCTAACAACAATTCATAAGTAGCCCCAAAATGAAACAAAAGTAGAGTCGATAGCGTGGGTCTCGCAACGAATTGCTTGATTCACAAGCCATATACTTGATAAATGTCCAGAAATTTGACAAATGTCTCGTGACAACTCGCCCGGCGTTTCTTCAGGGTGTAGGTTTAGGCGGCAGTCGAGTATATTTACAATTCAGGATATATAGAGATGTGCCTTGAAAGAATTTGAATTTTTTTTTTTGAAATGCGAGCCGAAATAGTTGTTGAGTCCGTTTTCTTTTTCCTATTCTTTTTATTAACTTAGAGCAGCGCTTTTATTGAAATTTTTTTCGTTGAAAAAACGGCAGGTTTCAATGAATCGGAAAATGGATGACGACTACAGTTTTGTTTTCGGCTACCACCGTTGAAAGTTCATTCTTTGTGTTTTCATATTCCTGCCCTGATAATACACTGACTTTACAACGCCAGAAGTTTACTCATTCGATCGTTTCTTTGGCGACCGGTATGAATGATTTTGGACGGAAATTTCTATAACTTCAAGAAGTTTCCTGTCTCCGAACCTGTGCTTAGGAAGGCAGAAATGGGGATTAGGGGCTCCCCATCCCCATTCATGCGTATAAAGCGAGTAACACTTACTTAAAAGTCATTCAGTCAACTTTGATGAAGATATTTACTAATAGATCGATAACTGAGTAACTTCGTATATTTGTGAATAGCTGGAACATTCATCTTAGAGGGTGACTACTATATGGATCAGCTGCATGAGTCTTTATTGGCCGTTATGTAGCTCAATAAGTTTTAAATCGTTCAAACTGCTCTGTTTATACGATTAAGCTTATTGAAATTAACCAGATCTGAACACGCTGAATATTTATTTATTTTTTCTTTTTTTGTTTCAATTGTAAAAAGGTAATTTTATTATCCAGAAATATACGCGATTACTTAATATCAAACCCGTAGGAAAGATTCTCTTGGAGCACTTTCATTTCACGAAAATATCCCCTCTATACCCCCTAGCTTGGTAACTTCGCCAGGTATCGCTGCTTGTTTAAAAACTGCTTTATTTCTCTGTTCAGTTAAAAAATTATTTATGAAGAGATACTCATAATAAGCAGAACCAAGAGGAATTAACAGTTTTAAAAATGGAATCTTTTTTACGTGATTGCCAACACTTAAAAAGATACTTCATAGGCTTCATTTAGCACATCTAAAGCTTCTGTTTGCAAAATAAAAATAATTGGCTTTGTTTTTGAAATCAATGAGCCTAGATAGTTGTACCATTTCCCATCGAACGTAATTCGAATTTCCTTGCTTTTGAATTCTACGATTACCTGAACACTCTGGTTATGTACGACTTACAGGTAATAATTCTGGAAGATGAATCGCATTTTCTCATTTCAAATCACCTTTATACGTCGGCTGAGCTCTGCTACTTCAACGTAGGTGCTATCAGTCATTTTATTCCTACTTGCGCCATGATTACGGAGCCTTTCTTGGAATTTATTTAGCAATACAAAAAGCTTTGTACAAAGAGGAAGATTTTGCGGAGTAGTATTGATAAATGACGCAGTTATCTGCGAACAACTTTAGGAAGATCACTATATGTAGAGAGCAGTACGAAGCGAGTTACCATTTCCCTACCGCTCTCGAAAATCGCTTAATTAACACCAATTTTTTTTTGATGTAGGTAAAAAACATTATTGAAACTACCTACACTTCTGCTTCTCTAACGTCTGATTTGCCTGAAGTTCTGAGTGAGATAACTTGTGCACCTTTTGGGCTGTGATGATACTATGCCATATGGATATCCGTCAACCTAGTGACTGGTACAGTATATGTCAACGAAGAAAAAAACACTGGCTTGAGTATTGGATAGTTGTTGTATAGGCCACGGCTCCACGAAATTTCAACATGGGCTCAACTAACTAAATAACTTAATACAGTACAAACAGGGTTATCCGACGACCGGTCCTTTGCACTTTGAAGTCTAGTTTTTAACCGAATACCCAATGGAACGAGTGTTAATGTCGATGTCAGCAGTGTCCCGAGAGGAGCTTTGGAGCCATTCATTACTATGCTGAGGCTTCTCAAGGAAATTCTTCAGCTACTTTTATAGCGTGCTTTTGTCTTCAGGAAGCGTACCTGCCTGTATGACTTTCACATCAAGCATAAGGCCAAAATGGTCCCCTTTGCTGGGTATGAAATGCCCGTGCAGTATGCCGATCTGAATATCCAAGAATCGTGCCGCCATACAAGAAACCATGTTAGCATATTCGACGTCTCTCACATGCTCCAAACACATATCACTGGGAAGGACAGGTGAGAAAGTTTCCTATGATGTTCATCGACAATTGCTATTATTATGACCCCCTTCATCCCTTCAGAGTTGCGTTTATCGAAAGCCTCACAACAGCTGATGTGGAAGGGCTGCCGGTGAATAGTGGTACTCTTTCAGGTAACTTCACCTAGAGCTTCATCTTATATTTTCATGTATTTTTCACTTGAGTACAGGTTCATGTTACCTAGCGTTCATGATAGTCCTCAAAATCTTCTCAAAAGGCAATAATAGTTTGCCAACACCTTGTTTGTGATGTAATATTCAAGCATATGATGGCAGGGTTACACAAAAAAGTGGAAGTTAAAGTGTTGGGGTACTATCCCTTTTGAGGTCCCTTTTGCTAACTCAATAACTTTGCATTTGCTTTTTGCTGGAATCCCATACATTTTCGACTCGAACCCCACATCGAGTTGCTTATGTCTAGACTCTTGTATCATAGTGAAAAGTAATGATCACAGAAGGAATCCATTCCTTCCTTTCCTCGGATCACTCGCTCTGCAGCAGTTCTATAGTTGACTGTATGCTCAGAGTTTGCAAAGTCGAATCTAATACCGTTGTGGTCGAATGGTGACAGCGTTATCAATAATAAAGTATTGGTTGCCCCTGAGCCCTAGCCATGGTTATAGATATTCCTACGTCCGTAAGCCTTCCAGAAGTTGCTGGTAGCATGGGTTATATTACAAACAGTGGGGTCGCCCGGCTTATGCCGGACCTCATTCCTTACTTTTACAAAGTAGTTAGAAAATGTAGTTAGAGGAAGGGGGTTGAGGAAGGGGGGGCAACGCTTTTATCAAACAGTGAAGGCTGGAGGGCAGACAAGTGCCGATCTGACCCGTGTTTGAATATTCAATTGACTCACACAACCGCTGCTCCTTCCCCCCCCCCCCCCCCCCCCCCCCCCCCCCTTATCCCCTGAAGCTTAGGTCAAAAAGCTGTATATTCTCGACTAAAAAACCTTAACAAGCATAATTATGGGCTTATCTCCTTATCTGCACTCTACCGCCCAATATTGAGAAAAAAGCGGAGGTCTCCCAATTACATTATCTCCCCCGATTTTGGTGTGGGCATTCATAGCACGAGCTAAAGTATTCCCTTCACTTACCATTACTCACTTCACTCCGCAGCCCTCCTCTACTCAATTAACCTACCCACCAATTTACTGCCTTATAAATATGAAGGAAATGTTAGAGCTGAGTTTTCCATGTCATTTTCCTTTATCAGTATCATAAAGTCCGACATATAGGACAGACCGACAAACCGACAAACACACCGACACCCCGAGTTACTGCTTTATAAATGAGAGAGATTGATTCCATAACTCAACACTTTTCACATTCTTCATCACTTGAGGCTTGAGACTGCATTTTAATAGCTACATATGAAGTTCGTTTCGCTATCTCATATAGTACTACCCTTTATCAGTGCCTATTTTTGAAGATATTGATTTTGGCCTTGATTCCTCCTCTACATTCCATTTACTCACCTCATAACACACTGTATTGTCAAGGCTCCTTGATAACACGAAGAGTGTAACGACCTAGTAGCTCTTGTCTTTTGATTTACTTTCTTATGTATTATCACTTCGTGCCTTCGCTTACGGGTCCCCACCACATGTGTTTATCCCTTCCATATTTAAACGCTCTGGCCTACAGCAGCGGGAATTGTGAATTCCTAGTCAAAAAAAAACTCCGAAACAGCAATATCACTAAGCATATTCGGGCATAATAAAACCAGGATCTTGTTTTAGTGTTCACTAACGAAAAGGGAGGAATAAAGGATGATCTCATTGTCTCAAAAACTGAGTACGATTATATCTACATGGTTACAAATGCCGGTTGTATTGACAAGGACCTTCCGTATCTACAGGTGTGTTGTTACTCATTTATAAGCATTCTGTAGCGAATATAAATTTCTTTCATCCTATTGTAGGAGAACGCTGCTAAATGGCGGTCAAAGGGAAAAGATGTTGATATAAAAGTTCTCGAGGGGCGAGGTCTTATTGCTGTCCAAGGTGAGTGGAGTTCCTTTCAAAAACCGGTTTATCATTTGACAGGAACTCTTTATTTAGTTCTTGTAGGGTTCTTTTTGGTGCGCTTAGTAAATTTTTTGAGTAGTTTACTTCGCTTCCGTACTACAGTAGGTTATTCTAGCTGTGTCTGCATAACTCTTGGGTCTCTTCTTCCTTCTTTCGTTACCTGGGTCCTTTGTTCAGGTCCTGAAATGGCTAGCGTACTACAAAAAGAGACTGACATTAACCTTCGTGAACTGACTTTTATGAAAACAACTATCGGTAAAGTATTCGGCATAAATAATTGTCGCGTCACCCGTTGTGGTTACACCGGTGAGGATGGCGTGGAGGTAAGTATATTTTGGTGATTGGACGGAGTTGGAGTGATAAAGGCTTTTTTCATTTACTTCAGATATCGGTAGACCCTAGCGAGGCTGCTAATCTCGCGGAAAGGCTGTTACAGTCAACGGTGATTTTATTGATTTATTCTTTCATACATCACGAATTTAATGAATAGCCCCTCTTTCTAGCATGGCAGCGTAAAACTGGCAGGGCTTGGTGCGCGAGATGCTCTGCGATTGGAAGCTGGTCTGTGCCTTTATGGAAACGATATCGATGAGAATACGACCCCCGCCGAAGCAGGCCTAGCTTTTGTTGTAGGTTAGTGGTCTTATCTTCCCTGCATTGAAAGACATATCTGCATCTAAATTCTCTGATGACTTTTGTCCGAACTCTTCAAACATTTCAGCGAAGCGTCGGCGCGAAACCCTTGGATTCCCGGGTGCAGAGAAAGTGGTTGAACAGTTGAAAACCAAAAAGTGGCTGAAACAACGTGTAGGCTTGGTTTCCGAACCTGGACGAGCTCCACGAGGTATATTTTAACCTTTGTTTCAACAATCGTTCTCCGGCTTTTTTTACTTACTTGTTTTCAGCTCATTTGCCTCTGATCGATCCACTGGATAAGTGCGCGATTGGTTTTATCACATCAGGATGCCCCTCTCCATGTACAAGTAAGAGTTTTGTTAGTGGCTGTCTTTGAATTACTTTTTTATGGTTGATTTTTAGATCAAAATATTGCAATGGCCTACGTGGACAAGCCATACTCTAAGGTTGGGAAGCAGTTCATCGTCGATTTTGGCACTAAACAATCCAAAGTCACTGTCGCGAAAATGCCATTTGTGCCGACCAAGTACTACACCAAGGCGTCTTAGGTCTCAAAGGTTTTACATTTTCTGACTCCCGTTGATTTACATTGCTTCCTTGACAGTTCTTGCTCACTTCCATTGTGATAATTTGTTAGTTTTGTTATTTTGAAGAGTTTCACTTACTAGCAGAATAATCTACTCGCCATGGTTTTTAAATTGTTATGTTTTGTCAAGCATGAAATGACATTCATCCTAAGTATATTGCCCTGTGTTCAAGTTCTATGAATCTTGTGTACCTCGTACTTCAGAGACAGCGACAATATTACCTTCATATTCCATGCTTTTGTGAGACTTTTCAGTAAATAATGGGTCCACAAGAGGCGTGATTGTTTCCAAACGGATTCGTTCTTTTCGTTGACCGTACTCCTTCGAAGCTTCCCTGGTGACGTTTGTTGTTACAAAAGGTAGCTGGTAAGTACATTCGCTACTTTTGTGCTGGATACTCGAACGATCTTTCTTAGTTATCGTCAGCTGCCCGTGCAGTCCGGGCAGCAACGGGTTTCAAGCCACCCGTAATCGCATTAGCACTTTAGCGTGAAAGAGAAAGGCCGACAAGTCCACAGCTAGCCACACTTCCTGTGCTTGACATCTGGAGATAGCAATCCCAAGTGAATAGATAGGAATGGACGGCCAACTGAATGAGATGATTGCTTGCGCTCCTCTGGGTGATTCTGGACGGCGTTGAGTACCTATAGAAGGAATCCGTGAAGACGGGGATGGGTATCCCAGAAGGAGTAAGGGGTGGTGGTATTTCATTTGTCATTACTAAGTTTTTATCATTAAGTCAAAAGGATGAAGAATTTGAACAGAACACAGCTTGTGATCCCGATTCTTACAATATGTCAGTCGTGAGTCTTGGTCCGAAAGCATGACTAATGCAACACGGCACTCTGTTACCTGCTTCCTCATCCGTTTCCTTGCCCAGGATGCAGTTGCCTACTCAATGAATACTCAGTATGTAGAATCAACACCACCATAGGATCAGATTTTTTAAGAGGTTTGCCCACGAGAGGGGGATACCTTTCGCGGAGTTCTGGTGCAGTGGACTCTGGCTTGGGATAGATGGGCGCAATGCTGCTGTCCGCTTTAGCCATTTGGCAATCAACGGAACGAGGGATTGTACAGATAAAGTACATCGTTTTGTGTAGGAACTGCTTTCGTTATTCAGCTCTTGTAGGAGTCATCTTGCCCTTTGGTGCATTCCTATTCTTCAATTTTCACGAACAAAAAGACTTCTAAAGACTTCTAATTCATAGTACCAACAAGCTGTCTAAGTATGTGTACAGCTTCACTCGATTTTCATGCCTTTGACCATTTCAACCTTTACCTTCGCTCTACTACTCCATCGTTTCCTGCAGTTAGCAAAAACAGGAGTGATGGGAGCAACTATGGCTGTTCGCTAGAATAAAAGTGTTCCTATAGGATTTGATTTCTTCGGTATCACCCCTGGGTTTCTTCGCCTTCATTTTATCTTTGATCATCATCACCATACTTGAGAACCACTTCGATCTTCAATTACGATTGATGAGTAGGTCTTCAGAGTTCATAAAAATGCAGAAGGAAAGATGGAGTTCTGAGTTTCGAAACAACATGATATTCAAAGGTTGACACTATTGTCCAGAAGTATTTTGTCTTTATTATAAAATCACGATCAACAGAATACTTTGATGGCTTTTCAAGACAAAAAATCTGACGAGCAAGGAAAAGTTGATGGAGAAGTTGGCACTGGACCCGGGTGACTTAAAGGGCTCGTTGTAGTGAACAAGAGCGATGCACTAACGTTCTGCACAGAGGATGCCGGTAGGGAAGGCGTGTTGCTTGGAATCGGTTTGGAATCTCGCGATCCAGCACCACCTCCACAATCGACATGTTTGCTTTTGCTTATACCATTAGAATTGGTTTGCTCTTTGCGAGCGGTGGAAACAGATGGTGGTGTGGAAGATGGAGGAGGTGCTAATGATGAAGGCAATTCAATAGACTTTTCTACAACAGAACCAATAGCTCTCTGTGAGGGCTTGGTAGATGGAATGGAAACTGATTGTGGCGAGGAAAGCTGAGAACAATCGGCACAAGGTTCTCTGAGGGGAAACGAAATCTCGTCAGTCCCGTGTTCGTCACTGCACCCTTTGATTTCATGCATCCTCTTGTGTTCATCCTGTTCGTCTTCCTGCATATCAACATTGAATAGTCGATTTCCAAGTGATGGAATATTCCGTTGTTCTCTATAAACAAGCAAAATAAAGAAATGGTTTCGATTGATTGTTGAATGAGGTTCTCATCCTTAAAACTTGTGTCAGACGAATATATTGCGTTCATAGGATTATTTTTAATCTTCAGATTCGAGTTGGTATATCTAGGCTATGAGACAGATCAGTAGGTTTTCAAAATGTGCGCAGCTCTGGCTGCTTTCATAGTCCACGATTCGGCCCGCGAGCGAGCGACAGGGGGCGGCGCTCGCCCGTTGCTTTCAACTAAATCTTGGTCGATACCGCCGGACGAGTAGTCCCCGATCGCTCGTGCGCTCGCGGGCCGAATCGTAGACTATAAAAGCAGCCTTTCAATGGCGGTTAGAGTTAGATCAACAAAGGGTTGCCCTCATTACGCAATAGAAGTGGCCATAAGTTCTATGCCATTGCTTACTGATGCTCTCGCAGAGGATGGGAAATAGTTATAAAAGTATTCAAACTCACAAGCCGCCGGATTGTTTTTCGAATCTGGACGCTTTTATAACAGGCGCTGTTGTACGAGTCAGCTCTCCTTGATCGCTTAGTTCCTCGGAACTTCGGGTAGTGAACTGATGCACTTCTTCCTCGAAATGACGAAGCCTTTTTGGCGAATTGATCGGTTGTTCTTCGCTCGTCTGGCTTGGCATACCTGGGTATCGAAATATCAGTCATGCATTATTTTTTTCCTCAAAAAACAACATCATTCATGAAGTTATTGAAGAACATTTGCCATCCCTACCAAATTTGGACCGTGCATATTATGATATCTGAAGTTTCCGATCGGACATTCTTATTTTAGTGAATGTATTCAAGCAAAAGTGCTTATCGCAATTCCTATGGCCTGAGGCCAATTTCATGCTGGATACGCTTCGATCCTGTCCTCGTTTGCCGCGCAAGTAGCGCGCGGCGCATCAGATCGTCATGAGCGCAATGTAATCACCGCTTCAGTTTGAATTACTCTCCCGCGCGCGGGTATTCGAATGCAACTCAGAACACGCCACTGGCTGCTTTCATAGTCCACGATTCGGCTCGCGACTGGTCGCTGCGTCCAGTCGCGACCAAATCGTGGACTATGAAGCAAGAGCAGAACACAATGTATTAATGAGGTTAGTCTAGAGGGAGTAAGATGTAATGGAATCTATTAGAAATCTTTCTGGAGCTTAAATATGAGGTCCGAGACTCGATCATGTGAAAAGCATCCGTTGAATCGTACTAATACAAGATATGTCCTATCAGTACAGTGATCAATCGGCATACCTTGTACTGGAATGAGAGCGGCTGGTTGCTGCGTTTGCTGCGACGTTTCGCCTTCATAGCTTGCATCTCTTGGCGTCTCGGAGTATACATTCAGGTCTCCGTATTGCTTAGTACTAGCTTCTTCGGAATTTATTTCCCTATTCTGAACCTCATTCTGTTCCTCAATGATAGGAAAGCGAAACCTTCGTCTTAATTTCTTTCTCAGCCTTCGTTTAGCGCTTAGTGGAGAGAGAAGCCCAGATTGCTTCAACTTCCAATCCCTCAGCGGAATAAATCTCCCAAAGGGACCTAAACCTCTGTTCTCGGGCTGCACGTCGGTAACAGCCTGCACGTTGACATCAACAAAATCTCTGTTAGATTGGTGGTCCATTGCTTCCTTTTTTTCTTCTTCGCTAAACTTCTGGTCCACTTCCCCAGAACTCTGTGAGCCTGTTCCAACTGAAAGTCTGGATTTTAACCCACCTCCATGTTCGGGTTCGCTGTTGCTGATCGAAGGTTGTTCCGGGCCAAAAAAATGCTCTTCATGAGAAGAAGGAACTTGTTTCTGTGGTTGAAATCCATTTACCAGCTGTTGTCGAAGTTCACTGTCATTTCTTTCGTACGAGTTTCCTTTACGTGGTGTCTTTCCTTTGAAGGGGGACACTTTTATGTCTAACCAGGGAGGCAAAGGGAACGTTCGCTCATCCTCATCACTCCCGTCACGAGGTTGAGGTTGGCGTTCTTCCTGAAAATGGTTCTCTTCGGTGCCACTTTGTCTGAGCTTCCTGTTGGCGGAAGAATCTTCCATTTTAGGAATAAAATATGGAGGTCTCAGATCTTCAGGTGGTTCTCCACCTTCGTGATCACCTTCAAATTCCGGCCGTCCTCTTCTCAGCGATTGGGAATGATCCCTATCGACATCTCTATCGACATCTTTTTTCAGAGATTTGTATGGAAATCCATGAGCCATGCCAAAGACCGGTTTTGGTAGTGATTCCTCATTTTGAAACGGTGTCGATCGACTATACTTCGGTTCAATGTTTGGGTGATACGGTTGATGCTCTAAAAACACAACAAAAATACAAAAAATTCATCGAAAAGGGATTTGGAATAAAGCTGAGCCTACCTGGATGTTGATGGTCTTGAGCGAAGCCGATTGTGCAGCAGCAGATAAGCAAAAGTAACATGGTCATGGCAGCATCCTGTCGGTAGTCACGATTACTGCGCTTTTGTATGAATAGAACCGGAGCTGGACGATTCCCATCACATCAATCTTGAGATAGTGGGCTATTGTGTTTTTGAGGTACATAAGGGCCAGAGCGTTCACGTACAACATAGCTAGAGGTGCCCACATACACATTCGAGAGCTGGTACTTATCTAACGGAAAGTATCTGTTATGCGAAGGAAGAGATCGAGAAAAACTCCCATCAACTCAGATAGGCCTACTTTGCAGCCATTACTCGAATAAAAATAAAGGTAGGCACCATTCTAGAATACTAGTACAGAGCGAGTATATCATTGCCAGACGATGAACACTCCTGATGTCCACAACAGCAGCCTTTCAGTCATGGCAGTTGTCGCTCAAAGCACAAAATTGGCGTAAAACTCCATCTTTAGATACAGTGGCTGCTACTCGGATATTATTACTACGGTCCGTTCGGGACATCAGCCCTGTAATTCGTCCCTTTTTTGCAGGCTTCAGTGTTGTTGTTCAATTCGCATTCAAAAAAAAAACAGAGGAGAAGGCGGAAAGGGGCCTGGTGCAGTAGAATCGAAATCGTCGCGTTGCGGCGAGAGGGATGCCGCGCGTGAAGGAGTAGCAGGATACAGCAGCAGTTAAAAAGTGCAGGAACAGAAGTACTAATAGGAGAATCATCCCTGAAATACTGATCGCATATCAATTGAGCTGTATGAGGAGCGCTGGAGCTGTAATAACGGGGAAGCGGATGGTCCGCGACAGCCGCGTGCGGCGAATCGATTGCACAAAACTGATCCTACTGCTCGTTCCCGGCGCAAAGACCCAAAATATTCAAGGGGAACAAGAGAAGGTATCGAAACTGACTTGCTCTGAGAAGCGACATAATCTTGTGTTGGTCCTAACCAGTAAGTTCAGCACTTGTAATGCAGGGAAGAATCTCTGACTTTGAATGGCAATTTTGGAAAAGTTTAGAGCAGAGCAGGATACTCGTAAGCAACTCTCTCTGTACCATTGGCTCTTCCTTATAAAGGATAAGGGACAAAGTTTTTGACGTTGGTCAATCCCATCTGTGGGATGCGCCCCTGCAGTCGACTTCCATTCAGAATCGTAGCGGCGTAATGAGTGCGTATGTGCCCTATACAATGACTTGCGGTGGCCAGCCGATGTACTAGTCAGTGCTTTTTTCCTCCCAGACGAGTCTGGTACCAATTCACCGACCCCAGAGGGATAGATGGCTTGGTTAACCTATGCGGGCATCGATCCGGGATTCGAACCCCTGACCGTGCGTGTGATGTAATGCGCCACTTTCCGCTACACCCCTTCCGCCGGCTCTTCCTTATACATTTAGTGAATCGCTTCCTCGATTTACTCCCTCGCCATAGAGTGCGTAGCGTAGGTAAAAATATCGTGGTTGGTTTGAATAGGTCCTTGAC